TAGAGTATTTTAGTTAGATAAGCCTGACCTAGCAGGATGTATAATTATAACAAGAGTTAACTTGCATACAACTAGATATATTCTAAGTTAGATAAGAACCAAAGCTAAGAGAAGGAAATAATTCAGGATGCTATAGAATAACAGGATAAGAAAGCCTATGCGAATCGACACCAAGATATCAACAGGAAACAGATAAAAGAACCTATGTAAAATAATACCTTAAAGGAAAGATGATATAAGGCTGATACAAGGATCGCGCCACCAAGCGTACTCCCACAATAGCAAAACCTTTATCCAAGAATAGTATAAAAAGCAAGCACGGTACAGGACAGTCAGTTCAGTTCAGCGGAACCCAGTGCATAAGGACACCAGTGACGTATAACCAGTGAGTAAGCAGTGCAGTATTGCCGAAAGCCATAGGGCATTATTAAGGAAACCTTTGTGAAAATAACTCTACAGTATTTTTATAACCATCTTCATATTAATACATTTTTTCCCCTATATATTATAACCCGGTGGAGGGGTTATTTTTCAAGGGACAATCCGGAAAAAATGCGGGGCGTCTGGGCTGGGATTCGAACCCGGGACCTTTTGATTACTGGTCGACTGCTCTGACCACTGGCTACGCCAGCCGTTTACCACATCCCTCCCGAATCGTCCCTACTAACGAAAATTCATTTTCATTACAATATATATAATAAATATCTTAATTAAAAGATATTGCTGTGAGAAATTACTGTGAACACCTTCTACATCATTGTTCCTCCAGTTATATCCTTCAAAAGAGAGGACCTACTAATTCACATCCTCTAAGCGAGAGGATCTACTAAGTCCAATAATCCTCTAAAGGGAGAGGATTCACCGAGCCAGAACCTCTAAAGGAGAGGTTCCACCGAGAAAAACAGGAGGAAGTCCTGTCCAGATTAAACAAGGTACGACAATTATCTATTCTCCTCAAGCCTTACCTACTGTAAGGACGCTTTCCGACTTTTTGTGAAACTATTCGGAAACGGGTGTTCCCGAGAGAACCTGATGGTCTTCAAGGATCCTGAACCATAGTAGAAACGTCGATTATATCACATAAGCCTTGCGCTATTCTCATACGGACAACTACTTGTTACGTAGGCCGTAGTGGCTAGCGAGGCCTTTAAATTTGATAACGAAAATTTAGAAGTAACCAAAAAAAAAGAAACGACCGGAGGTAACGTGAATAATGTTTGAGTGAATTCCGAGCGGTAAGAATGCACTCAATGGTGGGTTCGCTGCTCGTTTAAGGTGTTGAAACACGCCTTGCTATTCCAACGTGGGTAGATATTCTCTGAAATGTTGAGGATGGGTAAGAGATATTTAAAAACGCGAGTAAAATGTGAGTTTACGATATATTGTTACAACCAATTTAAAAGTTTTCTATTAATTGTCGTGTATAGTGTTTCTATTATGAGAAATATCGGATAACAAAACCTAACTGTGTGTGAGGTTAAGGCAAGATGAAATTTGGTGGAACAGAAATCTATCAAAACTATGCGATATTCGGAAAGAGTAGTCTATGCAGCTCTATTTTGCCCGGTAACCGATCCAGCTTGTTCCCTAGGGTATGTAATAACGAATCCGTACCTAGGCCAGATTGCGAATACTACACTGAATCTAATACTCTAACGGTTAGAGCCACGAGTGACAACGTGCAGTCCGATCTTTTACGCGTGAAATTGAATGATTTTCTGAGCGTCTGTGCCATGATTTTGGCTGCTTATATAGTCGATTTTTGCTGATGCTCTAGGTACGGTTAGGACGTTAGGAATGCACTCGGCTAACCAGCTGGGTAGGTGGCACGGGCAATGCACTGGGTAACGTGCTGAGTCTGCAATTATGCTTCCTGTCGGCTACGTTATTCTTCTGTTTAGGAATGAAGGTCGATATACGTAACATACTAATACTATCCTGCAAAGGAACATCCTGACGCTGAGATCGAGACGGAGTGCTCCTTAGAGTATCCCGATAGTAAGGATCGTAACACTTATATGCATTGAAGATTACATTTTTTTAAAATTTGTATATATCTTTATGTATTTCTAAAAAATGGACTTACAAACTAAATTTATGTGCTATTAAACATTTTCGACAACGCAATATATTTTTCTGATTAGCGACATCACAATGCATTTATATTTCATATCTGTAAAAATATAGATTTCAGTACTTAGAGCTTCTATACCCGTTGTGCAACAAAAACTTGTGATATCTCCCAAAAAAAAAACACTTACGTATAAAAACTACGCCAAGTACAGGAATGCTGTGAATTCCTCTTACAAAAAGTATTAAAATCATATTATTAAGGCCAAGTACGTAAATTACTACATGTTTGCCTATTATATGATGTAGCACTGGCCCATCATTTTAATTGTATTTTCAAAATTTCCTATAACTTTGTCACTACTCTTTTACATTACTACTGCTTCCCGTATTGAATTATGATTAATAGTCATTTAATAATTTATCAAACTTTAGATGATTCCTTATCGAGTACTACTTGGCGGGTCCGTGCCAGGAATTCCAAAGTACTTACTTTGAACGTACTAATAGTATTCTAATACTATATATTTGTCATTAGGCTTTTACCGTGATTATTATTGACGAGTTATTGTTAATATGCTTTATATAGAAAGTTGACATGGGTTTTGAGTTTAATGACCGGCATAATGAACGCAAATTTATATCAAGAAATGCACGGACCCGCCAAGTAGTACTCGATAAGGAATTATTTAAAGTTTTATTAATTATTAAATGACCATTAAATCATAATCAACTACGGGAAGCAGTAGTAATGTAAAAGAGTTGTGAAAACGTTATAAGAAATTTTGAAAATACAATTAAAATGATGGGCCAGTGCTAGATTATATAATAGGCAAACATGTAGTGACTTATGTACTTGACCTCAATAATCTGATATCAATACTTTTTATTAGAGGAATACACAGCACTCCTGTACTTGGCGTAGTTTTTTACACGTAAGTGTTTTTTTGTGAGATAAGTAGTATACATTGTGACGTTACAAAATACGTCACTCGTATTTTTGGGAGATACCTATTGCGTTTCTATCGGGGCGTAACTGCCGCCCCGAGAAGAAGCTGCCACCACGACGAATAACTTCAAGGTTTCACAGTCACGCTAATATATTGTTTAATTAACACACCTGTATTTCTACTATTAACTATATGTAACCGCAGCCACGACACGAAGCCGAGAAGAGAAGACCAACCAGGGAAAACCGCTATGACCGTTCATGCGTCGGCACCTAAAGCAATATCCACATCCGCCTGGAGGAAGAAACTGCCGTCAGAGAAGAAAAGGAGCATCCCGTGAAATATCGTCTACTGGCCTGAAGGCAGAGGTGTACGCGAGAGTCAGGCAGAGCGGTACTAAGTCCTCGGTACCTGCAAGTTGCCGCAAGCCCTTGCCCATCCAAGTATCCCTCAATATCAGTAGCGGAGGACAGAACAGCCATCGAGAAGTCGACGGATCAACAGATCCTCCAGAAACTGACGAAGCAGACAGAAATTATATGCGTAGCGATCGGCAGGGGCACGCCCTTACCACACTGTAAGCTTAGGTAGCGAGCATGAAGACAACCGGATGCCCCGGTAAAGAGCCCGAAGAAAATCCCTTCCATCATAACCATCCCTCGAGAATGGTACCTTGCGACGAGGAAATTTTCGTTAAGGGAATACCCTTTTTGCCTCCACCTCGTTGGGGAGAACTTACTATCGTCAGCATAGGACAGCATCGAAGTACATTATTATCGATTATCGTAATTAATTCACAAAAGGGATTCCTTAACACGATTTTAATTGTGGCGCGCGAATTGGGACGGTAGGGGGCCCCGCAATTTAGACTAGAATAGTGGAGGTTGTCACAGTTGGGACGTCGCGACGGGAAAGCTCTCTCTCGACCGTCAGCCGTAGTGGTAGCAGGGTGTAGAAGAATTTCGTTTTCGTTTATCGGTAAATTCTTGGGCTCAAGTACCGCGAACCTTCCCTGGGTGATTCCACCTTCCATTTTCCGTTGATCTCGTGGGTTTTTAGAATTTTTCGTCCTTCGGGGTTCTAATATATTCGAAGGAAAGATCGCGAGATTCTCGCTACCGAGAAAACTTCCTGGTTGCTGAATATTTCCTATATTCTAACGCCTGCGTATTCGTTACTGAGATACTTGGAGAGCGACGGGAGAGCAAAGATTTTGTGGCGATCGCTTCTCAATTGCTTTGACGTTTTGCTCCTACAATTATTGTTTGTCGGAAAGCGTACTCGTCATATAATTTATAATTTCGCCTATTTTAGTGTGTAAAGGAACACCGCCTCTCGGTGTTACTTAATACTGTATCGATTACGTGTACTATTATTTATTATATATTCCGTATACCACTTGCTCGCAAATACCTAATTCGATAATCGTATCCGTATGAACGGTCATGACCGTTAGCTAGTTTCGAACTTAACGAAAAGTCACGCTTGTGTTATCCGCATGCGTAGGGACTGTAGGTGATTGTATCGATCATTCGGGTAAGCGGTATTGTTCTTGTCGAAAACTTTATTTACCCCACTGTATTACCGTGGAGACGCGTATATTCTGAATTATCGTACATAATAAAGGAATCATATGATATGTTATTTTAAACGGTAGTGTACTTATTGTGTCGTAGAATTCCTTGATAGCTAAGATCCCTGCCTCTCTACTCTAAGCGTTTCGGAGGGAAACGGGCCGAGCTGCCGTGTTGTCGCTAGGTGCTCCAGCTGATCTCGTTGTGTCGTCTCGAAAAAAAAGTGATTAGCATCATTTCACGGTGTCTGGCGCTCAACATAATTACCGCGTATACTGGAGACACTAGTTAACGCACATTTGTTAACGACATTTGTTAACGCAGATCAGTAAGAATAGCGCGTTACAACATATACAACGCTAAATGAACAGACAGAAGACTGCATACTTTTAGGTATCACAGGACCATGAAACGAAGAATGTACCACCATGTCCACGCCAAGAGCAATAAAGAGGATATCAGCAGACACAACAAAGAAATCAGTAATACAATTAATGTCACAGAGCCCTCTCATATCATTGAAACATCTCCCAACGCTGCTGAAATTGAGTGTTCTATAGCCCCATTCCTAGTTGACAAAGCAGGTCAGGTGGCAATGTTTGGAACCACTGTGGAGCATAAAAATTTGTTTGATGGAACCAGAACGTTTATTTGCTCCCAATATGAGCAACGATGTTTGTGAAGCTCAAACTCAGGCGTATATTCCGGAGAACCCAGCCAAAATGGAATTCGCCGAAAAAAAGAAAATTGATAAGTATTGCGGTGTTCATATCGTTAAAGTTGACAGAACGGTTGGTCCTAATAATCCCAGCTCCATCGCATACACAAAAGGATTTCAAGGCATATCATCTGTAAGAAACGATCAAGAAATACTCGATCTTGGCGGCGTCATGTTGTTCACTTTTAAGTTGTTGCTGAAAGCACTATCGGACAGTAAAGTCATGAAAATTTCTAAAGAAAATCGACTGTTTATATTTTTAACAAAAATAAAAACCGGATTGTCCTTTGCCGCAATAAGTGTGCTATTTCATATTCACCGAACAACCGCTTCTCGAATCTTCGTAATACTTTTACAGTCGTTAAGAGTTGCTTGCCACCAATTTATTCTATGGCCATGTCGAGATATAGTGCAAAATACTATGCCCGAAGCATTTAAGCAATCGTATCGAGACTGCAGAGTGATAATTGATTGCACAGAAATTAAATTGGAACAGCCCAGTTCAGTTAAGAATCGAGTACTCATATATTCCAACTATAAGAAAGGCTTTACTTCAAAAGTTCTCGTTAGTTGCACCCCTGAAAGCCTCATTTCATTTATCGCTAAATGTTACGGCGGGCGAACAAGTGACTGTCAGATCACTACTGATTCTGAAATACTAGATTTACTTGAACCCGGTGACGTTGTGCTTCTGGATAAGGGTTTTCCTAGAATTCAGACAGTACTTGATGAACATGGAAAAGGAGCTCTTATCGTGATGCTTCCGTTTTTATGCGATTCTGAGATAGAAAGACCGTATTCAGAACTCCCTTTTAAAGTCACTAACAGAGTCGCTTTTAGTTAAAAGTCATTAAGAAAAAACTTAAAAGCGCGCTATTAGCACTAAGAGCGATTTCTGAATACGGGATTGACAGTTTACAAAGTGTTAAATAGATTTTTGACTGACATAATTCCTCACGCCGATAGTATTATTTATATGTGTGGTGTATTCATAAACTTGCAACCACCGAATATCAAAGACGGCTACATTGAAAACACAGAAGTTACTGATATGCACTAAAAAAGCAAAATTGTGTGTGAATTTTATATAACATTATTGCTTCCTCATAGGGGAAGCTATGTGACGGTGGAAATTTTTTTTTCGAGATCTTCATGTCACCATGTTTAGAATGTGCCAAAACGTCGAGAAAACACACTTGGAGAAAATGTCCGAATGTATGAACGACATAAAATTCGAGCCACAGCTTGTATCATGACGAAAATCATAGCGAATGAAGGGATTATAGAGCTGCACATGCGTGCAAAATTTGGGGACTGTAGCTAAAACCGTTCTCGAGTTACACACGTTTGAATTTTTGAAGGTAAGACAGATAAACACGCGCGCATGCGCACACGCAGCGCGCACGCACGCATGCACGCACACACACACACATACACACACACACACACGGACATTTTTTCCAAATGTCTTTTCCCTATGAGGAAGCAAAAAATGAAAATGCTTCCTCATATAGGAACTTTGTACACTACCTACGATTCGGAAGAAGCAAATTGCAAGTTTCAACTTGCAGCTTCATATATATTCCCTAACGGCACTGGCATATTCTTCGTTGAAAATAGAACAAAATGCAATTTGTCCGAATGAAATCGGTTGCAGCATTCTCGCGAAAATAAATATTAAAAATTTAGAAATATCATAATATCTCATGTTCGATAAGTCATAGTCTAATGATAATATTACAGTTTCTACTTGAGTGAATGTGTTCACAGACGCAAACGCCCGCCACTCTCCTTTTCTACTGCTATTGTTTTCTTTTGGTGATGATTGGAACTTACTTAAAATGATGATATTTCTGAATTTTTAATATTTATTTTCTCAAGAACGCTGCAACCGATTTCATTCGGACAAATTGCATTTTGTTTTATTTTCAACGGAAAATATGCCAGTGCCCGTTGGGGAATAAGTCGTGGGACACCCTGTATATATGGGTGAAAGGAATAAAAAATACTGGTCTGGAAAAGTTTTCAACAATTGCACTTTATTTCAATTATCACCATCAGCTTAAAAATAATTAATCAAACCATCTTTCTATGTATATGAATAATAAAAATTTTAAGAATTATTATTATTACAGAGATCGTTGTCTTTCGAGGAATTCGCTAGTACTTTTCAAAAGTATTTGCAGTAGAATGATGCAAGTTTGAGAACAGACTTTTCAAAAAAGATTCATCTCGGTGTACTGAAGCCATACAGCTTCCCTTGGGAGGTTAAACATACAAGTCACAAACTCTAATCCCAGTCAGGTACATCTGTACCTGGCATTCCGTGTAATACGCGTGTTTCTCTTTGAGTTCGATACTGTCCTTTAAAAAATAAAGATAATTTACATTTATTTTATGTAACTCATGCATGAGAAGTGCTACTTCTGGTACCTCCAAAGTGTGACGTAAGTGGCGCTCTATAACTAAGGATACAATGAAAATGCTGCGCATGCGCATATCAGCCCAATTTTACTTCTCGCACTAGCGCTGTCTTCTCACACGCACTTCTCACACTACGTAGTGTTTTGTTCTCGCATGCTGTCACCACACGCCTTCACGTTGGAGTCACGAAAAGTAGCACTTCTCATACATTTGTTACAGAACATATTATGCGATACTGGTGCAATAAAGCGAACATTATATGCAGATCGTGAAGTGTCACACTCGCCGCACTCGTACCACAATCAGCACTCGCCTTCGGCTCGTGTCGTTGTGTTACTCATGTGCGGCGACTCGTGCGAGTAACTTCACCGCCTGCCTATAAAGTTCGCTTTCGCACTCGTATCACAAAGTACTATTATTCAAATTGAAGTCCACTACCCAAAGCTTTGCACATGAAATTGGTTGTTTGATTTCGAATAATTTGGTTATTACACCTGTTATGCCGTAACGTCTCAAAGACGGAGTTTGGTCGAAAGGTTAGAGCTGAGATATTTTTGGGATCGTTGCCGGTTAAGGAGTTAGAACTCGCGTGAATTTAACAAAACTAAGAAGGTTTATTAAAACAATCAAAAGAGATGGACAGTAATTTCGACGTATGTCGACTTGAAAAAGATAGGCACCGTTCGGTTTTCCTATTTCCTGTACTGAGTCTACTCCACGAGACCACCTTATCCATTTGGATATTAACTGTAGACTGTCCGATTTTCGGAGGTACAGCCATAAGCTGCACTTTCGAAAATGTGTTTATTGTGCGATTTTCTATTTCACATCTCGGTTGCCGGGCCGCCGTTAGTTCTGACTTAGCGCATTGCTACACGCGTGAATTACTTGGCCTGGCGTTTTCTATGGAAACAAAGGAGATACATTGCGTATACCATGGCGAAATTCAGAAAACAATCTTTGATGGATGTGTCTCTTAAAAATTCCAACAATAAAATATATAAAGTGGACGGCCTGTCGGCACGTCTAAAGTAATCGTGTGCTCTAAAGTAATCATTTTGCTTTCAATAAATGTTTTTACTTGTTTTCGTTTCAACTTTTAAATCGGGCATCGAATCCCAAAATTATCCGACTCCCCGAATATCCATTCAGGTCGTCAAACCCGTGGATCTAACCTTTAGACTCACAACACCTGTCATTATTTTCAAAAGCACAGTCAACAACCTTAAGCTGGCCTGGGTCTTTTCGTTATTGGGAAACGACTAGTAAATTTCTACAAGGAAAATTATAATTATTTTAATTATTAAATATCATAATTATATTTAAGCATTTTATCTCAAGCTTATACTTTTAACTACTGAAATTACGACAACATTTATATTGGATTATTTGACACAATAAAAATTACAGTCGTTAATTATGCACGATTAAAATAGCCGAAAAGAAAATAAATTATCTGTTGAAATAAAATAAGAACATAGACGCCAGAAGAGAAGATTTTTATCAAAAATGTGAAATTGATAGCCCAGAAATGGGCAATTAATGTTTACCATCAATTAATTTAGAGTAAGCACAATGGGAATGGACCAGAAAAAGTGCATCAATTTATCTTATTCAAATACAGGGTGTTCCGAAATTACTTGACCGACGGTGTATGGCGGTGTTCAGGAGGCATCACTGATCACGAAAATGACCTTTCTTTTGTCCGGAAGGTCATAGTTTTTAAATGGGAGCAGGTCAAAGTTGACCAATCAAAACAAGGCGTCAAGAGAAACGTAGGCACTATTGCCCATTTATTGCCCACCCCAAGTTGCGTAATACTTGCAGGTAACAGATTTCGGATTTACCTACTACGAAAGATCTGTATTATATCTTACAGGGAATATAAACTCTTAAGGAATATGCTTTATAAATTATGAAAAGTCGTCAATTGCATTAGAATTTTATTGCGATTCGTCAACGGGATGTACCACGAATCGCTGGAGATCAATGGAAGAAAAGCGTGATCAGGATAACCTACGTAAGACGTCACAGAGATATCTGTGTAAGTCAAATGGCATTATCATAGGGCATTGCAATTTTCAGTTAATGCTTGACTGTTCAACTGACAACTTCTGTTCCCAGCGAGTGACATCCAATAGGCATGTCTTCGGCTGACGTCATCCTGCCCAAAGCCACCGAGAAACAAAAGCGAGGGAAGAAAAAGTTCGTAGGTGCCTACGTTTCTCTTGACGCCTTGCTTTGATTGGTCAACTTTGACCTGCTCCTATTTAAAAACTATGACCTTCCGGACAAAAGAAAGGTCATTTTCGTGATCAGTGGTGTCTCCCGAACACCGCCATACCCCGTTGGTCAGGTAATTTCGGAACACCCTGTATACAATAAATAATGAATAATAAAATATATAAATAAATAACTGTATATAAAAAAACACCCTCAAATTCCTAATTATGTAACTGTAACAAATTCAACAAATCTATTAACAATTTAAACAAAGTAACACAAATACTGCCACCTACAAATATCTCCGATTCCAGGAAAGCCCTAGCAACAACAAGTTTATCAGCGAATTAATTAAGGATTTATAGCTCCAAATCAGTAGTATAAGTTTGGGAGTTCTGGATATAGATTCCTGCACCGACATAATACCGACACTCCAGAGCCATCGAAGGTGGGTGTCCGTGCTAAGTTGCCGTCGTGAGCTCTACGATTTCTGAAAGTGAAGTCATCAGAACCCTCGATTCCAAGAATTTTCGCTCGATTCCGGGAATTTTGCGTCACATTCCGGGAATTTTGCGCTCGATTCTAGGAATTACGCACGATCGAGAACCTTCTAGAACATTCTAGAATCTTCTAGAACATTCTGGAAGCTTCGACGGTTCGTGTCCATGCTAAGTCGGGAAGGTTCGCTCCCAGAGCCGGCGGTACTCTAGCTCGACGTTTTGAGACAGCCCCTTGCCCCCCACCCCGAAAAGCCTTCCAGAAGCTTCGACGGACCCGTACACGTTCGTGCAGGTTTCGGACGTCAGCTCTCAGCCCGTTTGACCTCGAACGTTATCTCGCAGAATTGCACAACATCGCTGATGCAATCCTCTAGGAATTTTCCAGAACTTTTGTCCCTAACTTCATAGCGCAGGCTAGTGCGTAGCATCGGTGAATCAGAGAGAGAGAGAGAGAGAGAGAGAGAGACGAGCGGCATC